CTACGGCCGCAAGTGCAGATCCCCTCTGTGTTGGGCTGAAGTGGGTGACACGTAGTTAGTCAAGGGTCAAGTCCCTGACAGCACTATCATGGGTCCTGAAATCATCCGAGAGACAACAGAAAAGATCGTACAAATCAGAGAGCAACTGAAAGCATATCGGGATAGGCAAAAGAGGTACGCCGATAAGAGACGAAAACCCTAGGAATTCTAGGTCAGTGACTGTGTCCTTCTGAAGGTCTCGCCCTGGAAAGGCATGATACATTTCGGAAAATGTGGAAAGCTAAACCCAAGGTACATTGGACCATTCGAGATCCTTCCTATGATCGATCCCGTAGCATACAAACTCCAGTTACCTCGAGAACTCAACAACATCCATCTTGTCTTCCACGTGTCGAACCTAAAGAAATGTCTGTCCGATGAGACACTTGTGATTCCCCTCGACGAGATTGAATTAAACGAGGGGCTACACTTCATGGAAGAACCTGTCGAAATCATGGATTGAGAAGTCAAGCGTACAAAACAAAGTCGCATCACGATAGTGAAGGTCCGTCGGAATGCCAAGCAAGGTCCTGAATTCACTTAGGAGCATGAGGATTCAATAAAGCAGAAGTACCCCCATCTCTTTCCAATCTCATGATTGTACTTTGTCCTCGAATTTCGGGACGAAATTCCCTCTAATGAGGGGATGATGTGACAACCCGAAATTTCAATCTTGTACAATTAATCAATTCAATCAATATTCAGCTTGTTTTGTTGATTTCTAGTGCTATTCAAGGGGTCATTTAAGTGTTCTAAGCTTGTATATATAACCAAGGTAGAGTTTAGGAATGAGTCGGAGTGTTGAATAGTGAGAAATTGGGCCATACACAACTCTTGGAGGAGTGTATGGCCATACACACGGGTGTGCGGCCACAGACCCACTCCCTTGGCAGCGCACTCACTTTTGACAGCACTCACACTCCTATATAAAGGGTAGCCCCCTTCCTTTCATTCCTTTAGCACCTTGGCAGTACACAACATCATTTCCTCTCAAGTTTCTCCAACTTTGTACCTTCCCAAGGCTTCAAAAACGTGAGTAATCCATCCCTTAACTTGTTGTGCATGAAGAACCTCTTGATCTAGGCCTTGAATCATGAAAGTCCCGTCATGTTCTTCATCTCGTTGAAGGAGTGCGGCAACACGCTCCTATGTGCGGCTACACACTCATGTGTGTGGGAACACACACATTTTTGCGACCATACACACACACCATAAAACCACAAACCCATTTTTAAGACCCTAAACTTGTACTACAACCAAGTATGGGCCTAGGACACTTCATGCATGCAAGTATGGACCTTGAAAACACCTCAAAGGCACCTCCCATCACGAGTGTACAGCCACACACCGATGGCCATACACACCTTTAAAAGTGGCCATATACCTCACTCATGCAATCCTTTGAGGTCCTAACACTTAGTGCAAGTAGTCCCAAGTTCTTAGAATGGTTCTTCGTCACATCTAGTTGTGAAATACCATCATTTGACTCCTTTATGTGTCATTACTTGTTGATTAGAATCAAATAGTGTTCAAGGCTTCACTTGAACATCCCGCATTCCGTATTGATCCTTCATTCAAATCATCCGAGGTGAGTTCATACCCCTACATTTTTCCGTATTTTTTCAGGGGAGGATACAAGATAAACATAAATGTTTTCAAAACTCATGAAATTCTCATACTTTAACCCTTTTGTACTGTGTTGAGCATAAGGGTCATTTTCACTGAAATTTCATAGTTTTCCGGATTCGCTATTCACTACGTTACTCATGCAAACTATAATCGGTATAGTTTAGGATTTTTCTAAACATAACAAGTATAGAAACTTTCACTACCAAACGTATGCACTAAGAACATGAATAGTTTACAGTTTGCACCACTACTCTATCACGTTTTTCATAACTATAATTATCTCTACGAACGATATACATTCAGATTTTCACTACGGTAGAACGCTACTACACTACATGTAAACTAGATTTTACGATACTGTGAGGCGCTCCTTCACTAATGTACCCTTAGGTGTACATGGATAAATCCTATCATAGTATAACCAATGTCTCCCAGAGGGAGAGCGTGAGATTTATGAATAGATCTATCGGGACTGACAATCCCACACCCGAACTGCTAGCTTCAGTTGGGCAGGCATGCCCATCGTGACAAACGTCATTTAGCACGATGCCTGAAGAACATTGGAAAACTCTCTAGTCATATGAAGTATGGTTATACGACTCACATTATGTATAAATCACTTTGAGTTTACAATCTGACACTCTTCAACGATTTTATTTATACTAAATAGAACTAAAACACACTACCTACACTAGCCAAAGCCAGGGTTTTCAAACAGAACCAATTATGAAATGGCTTCACATACAAAATACTTATACATCATGATTGGCTTAGGCTAGTCACATGAGGTAGTATTTTTGCATCTCACTACAGTTTTCAGTAACGAACATTCATGGTTTTATACGGAATCGATAACGCTAGATTTTTACTAAAGAAAATATCGGATTTTCTTGGAAACATATAGATATTCATGGTTTACTACAGAACTGATAACACTACATTTTCATTAAAGAAAATATCGGATTTTCTTAAAACTATACAAACATTTCTGTTATCTCATCAACAAGTTTCATTACAAACTACTGCTTATGAACTCACCAGTTTTATGCTGATATTTTTAAACTGCGTGTATTCTCATGAAATCAGTAGATAGGTACATGTTGGGTTTTTGAGGAGATGGAGCAATAACAGTTTAATGTTTATATTCTATATATATTCTGTATGATGAAATCCAAACAAGTTTCAAAAAATTTCCAAATTGATGTAAATATTTTTATATAAGTATTCAATGTAATGGTTGCGTTGCTATGATTGCTATTACACATTGGTTGTGATGCTATAAACGATGTCCTCCACTCCAGAACGTTTCCGCCATTCTGGTTTAAGGGTGTGACATTATATTTTGATATAACGATTCTACAAAAAGAATCTTATCAGCTACTTGAATCATTAACAGTTGAACAACGTTCAATTTTTGTTTATGTCTATGGAGGTACTGGTAAAACTTTCCTTTGGAAGACTTTATCTGCATCTTTAAGGTCTAAAGGTGATATCGTCCTAAATGTTGCTTCAAGTGGTATTGCTTCGTTGTTACTAACCTGAGGTAGAACAACACACTCACGCTTTATAATTCCTCTAAATCTTACAGAGGATTCTTTTTGTTCTTTTGGGAAAGACAGTGATGTTGCCAAATTGTTAAAAAAAACATCATTGATTATATGGGACGAGGCACCTATGAGTCATAAGCATACATTTGAAGCCTTGGACCGTTCTATGAAAGATATATTCACTTGTGATCTTCTTACCAACTCAAAGTTGCCGTTTGGAGGAAAAACAATTATTTTTGGAAAAGATTTTAGAAAAATTCTACTTGTTATTCCTAACGGAAGCAGCCAAGAGATTGTTAATGCTTCTTTATGTTCTTCTTACATTTGGTTAAATTGCAAAGTGTTAACATTGACAAAAAAATAAAAATAAAAAATAAAAAATAAAAAATAAAACATGAGGTTAAGTGTTCTCGCATCCAATATTCAAGAAACGACAACTTTTGCAAAATGGATTTTGGATATAGGAGAAGGAAAAGTTGGTGGTTTAAATGATGGAGAGACAATTATTGATATTCCTGATGATCTTCTCATTGTTGATTCTGCTGATCCTATTGGTTCATTAATTAAATTTGTCTATCCTTCTATCGTTGAAAATGTCAAGAATCTGATTTATTTTCAAGAAAGAGCAATCATTGCACCGAAGAATGAAGTCGTTCAAGAGATTAACGAGCATTTGTTAAAATTATTTCCGGGAGCTCAACAGGAGTATTTAAGTTCAGATAGTCTTTCACAAGCAGATTTTGTTCATGATAACATTGATGAAACTTTATACTCCCCTGATGTTCAAAATGGTCTTAGACCTTCAGGTATGCCAATTCATAAGTTTGTATTAAAAGTCGGTGTTCCAGTTATGTTACTAAGAAATATTGATCAAAAATCCGGATTATGCAATGGAACAAGGCTACGGGTTATTGCATTGGGCAAACGTGTTATAGAAGCTGTGATAATATTTGGAAGTAATATCGGAAACCGTAAGTTTATTCCAAGAATGTCTTTGACGTCTTAGGATAAAAGGATTTCTTTCATATTTTAAAGACGGCAATTCCCCTTGGCTGTATGTTTTGCGATAATAATAAACAAAAGTCAAGGACAATCACTATCGAAGGTGGGGTTGTTTTTGAGACAACCAATATTTACTCATGGGCAGTTGTATGTTGTATTGTCGAGAGTGAAGAGTAAAGATGGATTAAAAATTTAAAAATATTAATTTTAGATAAAGATAATAAACTTATCAATAAGACATCTATTGTTATATTCAAAGAAGTCTTTAGAAATTTGTAATTCATAAAAATAAGTCTCAATAATTCAATCTTTGTTTTTATTATTATACATCATCTTACCTACTTATACATAATTTTGTTTTTATATATTTAGCAATTTTTATTTAATTAATGTTTGATGTTTCTAACATTTTTGTCATCATCATTTTATAAATACGTACGTTTTTATTTTATTTATTTATATTTCGAAATAGTTAATTTATTCTTTATATATTTTTGTCTTTATGTTAAATTAATACTAAAAAACATGTAATGTTTAACAAAATATATTAATTTTTAAAAAAAAAAAAAAAAAACTCGTGTATTACACGGGTCTCACACATATTGTGTGTGTGTGTGTGTGTATATATATATATATATATAACAAATTCATCACAAATGGAAATGGATTATAATTTTTAAGAAATGATTGGTAAAAGTTTTAAAAGTATGTATGGAAAACGTCAATAACACATAATTAAATAAAATACACACATTACACACATATTGAAACAAATACATTATTTAAATACATACACAAATAGATCTATTTGATCTGCCAAATACAAATAAATAAATAAATAAATAAAAATAAAGACAGCTAGACTTAGCTTTCTTTTTTTGTCCTTCTCCACTCAAAAGCAGCTTTTCCTTCCTCAAATAATGTGGATGATTAGACAACACTCAAATACAGCTGGATAATTTGAAGACTTTTTGCAATAATAACTCAAACACCAAACACCGCTGCTATCCCCTATCTTCTCCTTCGGCATTGCTGCACTCTTTCTCTTTTCTTCGTTGTCCCCTGTCAACGAACCCTACACTCAACCACAATGATAAATTAACAACTGAGCTCTTTAACAATCAATCAATGTTTGATTCACAAAAACTATACCTCTTTAGTCTTGATTCAATGTTTGATTCACAAAAACTATACCTCTTTAGTCTTGATTCCTAAGAAGAACAGCCTCATTTTGTTGTGCTTCTTTTCCTTTCCCCCATCGATTTCTCTGTCAACAAGAAAAAAAAATCTACAAATGATACAGATAACTAGCTCACAAACATCTCCTTGTTAAAGCATTCATCTGTTCTTCTTCCTTCGTGTATCTGCAAACCGGAAGACATTTGTGTTTCTTTCCTTCCCTATCAAACAATCAACCCAATCATCAATTTTATCCTCCATTTCTTTCTATGGAAAACCAAGCATTCATACACTCCAATGTTTTCTATCAAACAATAAAACAAAAGAGAAAGGGGCACCTGTGTCTTGGCACACCCTGTTGTTGCTTCCTTATGCGTGTGCACCACCGAAGCACAGAACCAGCTCTTCGTCCCCCCTGTTCGCCCCTCGCGACCGGAAACGAAGCAAACAGTCGAGAGGCTGCTTGAGCAGCCCCTCGCTACACCCACCGAGACAACAGCAGTTCCGCTGCTTCTTCGCTTCTGCGCGTCGAACACCGGAGATGACGACCTCCCCTCACCATCAGATCGGTGAATGCCGCCTGCGAGTCCCGTGAATCCCTTCGGTCGCCATCGCTCAACGACTATCGTTCTCGTATTCTTCGCTTGCCCGTTCAACAAATGACGGGATGAGATTCAACCCTAATCTCTTTTAAGTGGGTCAATTAGATCGGATATGGGGCTCCAACACCAAAAGAAAACGGGCTCCAAGTTGACCCAGTCAAAAGTCAAGGGCAACTCAAACTTTCATTTAAATTTATCAAAAACTACCCCCATTATTAAAACCTTAATTCAAAATCAGTCCAAAAACCAAAAATCAGTTTCAAATGCACATGTTTAACCCCTGTCTTAAGAATAACTCTCAATATCAGTCCCTAAAGTATGATTTTGGCAAAATCAAACCCTAGAGTTTATTCATTTAAGAAAGACCGCCATATACTTAATAATTAATACCAAAACTACCCTTTAGTTTATTAAGTAATACAAATATACTATAAATGGTTCCTGTTAAGAACAAGGAATGTCACGTAACAAATCACATGACAAGTTTTTCAAAAGAATCTGAATATCATACGAATCGAACTCACGCTTCAAGGGTGAGTGCTTACTGCTCCTTTTTAATATTTTAATTATTTCATGGGGGGATATATGTGCCAATATATTTTGTTTATACAAACCAATTACCTTTTTATGCTAAAATACAATAAAACTAGTTTATAAAATTATTATTATTTAACAATCATATTGTTACGAATAAGCTAGTATAAATTTTTCGTATACGTATTAATTTTTCGTATACGTATTATGGTTATTTCATCGTGAAATAACCATTTTACACAATAAATACTACACGCTACAAAGTTTTATGATTTTTATGTGACATTGCATATTATAACAAGTACGTTATGAAACTCTGTAGTATTTTAAGGATTCAAGATATTATTAATCATGTTTATTTATATGTTTAAGTACACCATATTTATACATGTACATATGTTCGTTAATTTGAAACGTCCATTTTCTTAAAAGCGAGTACAATACACTTTTACATATATGTCAAACACACTCGACTTTTATGAACCTTTTACAACGATATTCATTATGCCTAGTGACTTACCCAAGAGTAAGTTAGGGCTGAGAGTTATTCACAAACTTTTTAGTTAAGGGATTTTAGTGAGACATTTTTAATTAGCTGAGTTTAAATACTTAAGATACCGACACTACTGTAACCGTTAATCTTTGGAGCGAGATACATATGTATAGGTCTATACGGCGTTGACTTCCTTACCTGTGGTTGCTAGCTAAAACCCTCAACTAATCAATGAAAGCGGGTGATAAGTGTCTACATTCATTATTACAACATCCAATGAAGTGTTGTAAGGGTACATTCAATCAGGTAGATCCGTTATAGGACTCACTAAAAACATTAACTAGGAATCTCTCTCTCTCTCTCTCTCTCTCTCTCTCTCACTAATGACCATGCGTTTGGTTGCTTTCAAAGCTATTTTTAAGTACGGAATTACTTATGTAACACAAAACGTTTGGTTTTCAATAATATTGAAAGGTTTATTACGAACACAGTTTAAAGTATAGATTACTTATACAACAGATACATTTTGGCTTTCAATGATTTATTACAGACACAGTTTCAGTATGGATTTACTTATACAAAAATACATTTTGGGTGTTTAAAACACTCATTACAAACATTGTTTTTAACTATCGTTATACATACAAAGATAATACTTTTTAGACTTTAAAAGTATTACGGCGTTAGCAAAAAATCTATAACACTCACCAACCTTATGTTGACTTTCAAAACTACATGTATTCTCCGGAAACTATTGAACAGACATTCAACACAGATTTGATTACAGGTGACCAAGTTTACTTGCAATCGTATTATATGTCTATCAGCTTAGGCAATTCATGTATTATTATTATTATTATCTGTAAAATCCTTGTATTCAAACATCAAGATGTAATGTAAATGCTATTTTGTTTATTATTGTACATGTGCTATATATTCAATTTGCATGTGATCCATGAACTCAATCGTACAGCCCGGCGTGTTCCACCGCCTCGATCGGGGGTGTGACAGATTGGTATCAGAGCTAAATTTGTTATAGAGAACTCGTGTCCTTGAAAGAGGAATGCACCTATAGCAACTGTCTTCTAATAAAAGTATTATTAATCATAATTACACTACTTCTTGACTACTAACGGTACGAGAATTTGGTTTGAAATGCCACTTGGGTTGCTGGATTTTAGAATGGCTTAATTGCTAAAATGGTCCTGCCCTCCGGTGTTTCCTGTCTGGCCCTCATCTATACTTGGCAGTCTTGGAGTACAAAACAAATACATAATAATACTGCAAACCCCACCCACAATAACATATAAGAGTTATATATACTTTGACCCGCGATGAGAATACATACTAAAACTCTAACATGCCTCCAACTAAAACTACCAACTCAACCCTTTAGGTCAAACGCCTCAATTAAGGTTAGTATCGTACATAAGCCATACCATAAATAAACATGGAACATACACCTTTGTTATTTATGGTCGGGACGGTGAACAACAAACCTTGAGCAAGGAGTTTGACAGACTAAAATGGTTGAAAGTTTTAGAGATTGAAGGATGTTATTAAGATTCGCTGCAGAAACCTAGTACTTTAGAAACCTTATATCAACAACATATATATTTTAAAATACACTTAAAAATATTGAATAACATTCATTTTTTCCTAGTTTTCCTAAACCCAAAGAAGAACAAGATCATTCTAAGTTCATTAAGTTCAGCAAACAAGATCATTCCAAGTCCATTAATATGGTACGGATAGTTCATGAAACAGTAGCAAGCTTTCCACCCCAAAAAAACAGTAAAAATGGGGATGTGAATACTCACTAGGGAGAGTTCGCGGTTTGAGCTTCGCAGTTCGGTGTTGTAGAGATCGATTTCTACTAGTGCCCTATGGAACAAATAGTTTATAGTGAGATACAATTCACTAATCTATTATCTAAGAACTACCTATCCAACTAGTGGTGTCGTAAAAGTGCCCAAAGTGTGTACGATTTATTATCGGTAACATTAATTCATAATGCATTGTGTTGAAAATTTCACAAAGGCATGGAAATAAATTCAAAAAATTACAAAGATTGTTTTTCAGGTTCTAAGAAAGGGCATTGGTGTCCAGAAATTTTGTAGACATTTTTGAAGGCTATTTGATACTTATTTGTAAATTAAATCCCAATTAATAGAGAAAATTCAAAATAAATGGTAAACAGTTTCTAAAATTCTCAATTTAGTTTTTACAAGTTCTCATAATGTTCCCAAAGCTAGGAAAAATATTGGTTTGTGCATTTGGGTTGTAAGACCCGGTTTTGTAAATTCATGATGTAATTCAATGAAAATTTTGAATAAAATACCAATCAGTGGCCAAATTGTATGAAAATTTAGGTGGCATCTTGATTTCGTACAAAAGTCAGTTCTATAATTGTTTAGATTTTTTCTCATCTTTAAGTATTTATTTTGAATTTTTGACCATTAAACACGTATTTTTGTAGAAAAATAAAGATTATATTATAGCACTATGGGTTTTACAGAACATCCCTTGAAACCATGATCTTCCACAAAACAATTTATTTAAATATTAGTTCGGAGCTAAATAGGGGTATTAAACCCCAACAAGTTTAAGAATGTAGCACTAACTAGTGCATGAGTTCCAAATGTAGCAGGAAGTTCAACAATTTTTGTACAAACTTCTGTAAAGTGTTTGTTCATGAAATTTTAGGTCTTCTGAGACAAATGTGTCAAGTTCCAAAAGTAATTTTCTCCAAATTTATTGTGGGGCTTAAGGCCTTTGATTATGTAATGAAATTCTAGTGATCACAGAAAAAGTTCTATTTGCGCAACTGTTTTGTAAAAATCGCCAAAAAACGAATTCTTGATGTTTTACAGTAAGACCAATTGGTTTCGAAAGCTAACGCAATATATTATATTTCAAAAAATTAATCATGAATTTTGGTTAAGAAATGAGTGAGATATGGTAGTTCAAATTCCAGAAAAAAAAATCTGGCAGATTGCATGCATAATGATTGGTTAGAAATGTGAGATTTCATCATTACTTTGAGTAAACCCTTTAAAATGATTTAAATATATCATGATAAACTCATACTCTAAACATTTTTTTTCCAGAGATCAAAAGATTAAAACTTATCAAAGTGTATACATGCATTTATGAAAGAAAATTTGTTTCTTTAAACTCTTTAATTGAGTTTGATGTTTTAATCCTTAAAATCAATTTTTCCACTAAGATCATGAACATGCAACCTTTTTTATCATACATGCATGGTGTTAAAACACATTCATGATGTTTTAAAAACCATTTTAACAAAAAAGGAAAACAATTGGAAGAAGATGAAGAAGTAGAAGTTGGTTTTTGAAGTAAAATGCACATGCATGGCTTAAATCATTGTCATAATGTAGATTTGATCATAGATTTTCACCATTTCTAATACATGCAGCATGTGATGGTATATAAACATTAAGATAGAAAAGAAGATTCTAGCCATGGTAGAGGCATAGAATCCGAAAATGAGATGAAATGAAAGATGTTTTTGAAGTAAGAGTGGTAAAATCATAAAAGATGGTTGTGAATTCATACCTTGACTTTGATTTTGTTTTATTATCAAGAAACACACTTGGAGCTTCAAAATTTCGTGGTCAAGGGATGTTATTGAAGGCATTTTGAGAGTGTTTTTGAGAGAAAAACTTGTTCATGAAGGATGTAAAGAGGTGGAGTGAAGAGTGAGTGAGAGTTAGAGTGTAAAAATGGTCCAAATGAGTTGTAATCATAGATTTTAAGGCATGGGGAAGAGTGAAAGGTATAATGGCCGAATTTTTAAGAAGGATAGTGCATTTTTCTTGTTATTTGATAAAATAATAAAAGCCTCCCTTGAAATTTTTATAAATCTAGGCTTTAAATTTTATAAAAACTCAAATATTATCATAATTTCTTAGGGTTTTATTCATTGGTTTTTATTGAAATATTTACATTTGGAAATAAGTTGTAAACTTATATTTCTTGAATTAATTTAGAAAAATGATAACCTATGATTTAATTTTTATAAAATCAATTTCACATATTTCAACAATTGCAACAAGGGTTCATAATATGTGGTTAGAGGATTAGACAATCCTTGAATTATACTTTTGGCTCGTAATTCAAATTATGATATTTGGATATCTTTCCAACTATCAATTAAATCAAATCGTGATTTAATTAAATTGATTTTCATAAGTACTTAAACTAGTTAAGCATGTCATATGTTTCGATTAATAATTTAGGGTATTTAACTTACCCTTGAGTCGTGATCTATTGAACATGGTTTCGTGTTTAGATTTGTGATTGAACTTTGGCACTTTAAAATCTAGTTGGAGTATTCACATATTAATGTGACAGCTTAGAACAACCTAAGTTATACTAATTGTTCTGAGGGATCTATTAAGTCGCGATCTATCTCAACTTGTTGCTACTAAAGCCAAGTTATGTGATTGCAGGGAAATGAAAATGTTCTAGATGAGTCCTAACCTGATTTTTGACGGTTGTCACATAATCGCACAGCCCAGCGTGTTCCGCCGCCTTGATCGGGGGTGTGACATATTTGTATCAGAGCTAAATTGGCTATAGAGAACTCGTGCCCTCGTAAGAGGAATACAACTATAGCAACTGGCTTCTAATAAAAGTATTATTAATTTTAATTACACTACTTCTTGACTAAATTGGCTATATAGAACTCGTGCCACCTTGACCGAGGGTGTGACATATTTGAAATGTCGCTTGGGCTGTTGGATTTCAGAATGGCTTACTTGCTAAAATGGTCCTACCCTCCGGTGTTTCCTGTTTGGCCCTTGTCTGTAGTTAGCAATCTTTGAGTACAAAACAAAAACTTAATAATACTGGAAACCCCACCAACAACAACATATAAGAGTTATATATACTCTGACCGGCAATGAGAATACATATTAAAACTCTAACATGCCTCCAACTAAAACCACCAACTCAACCCTTTAGGTCAAACGTCTTAATTAAGGTTAGTACAGTACATAAGTGATACCAAAAATAAACCTGGAACGTACGCATATGTTATTTATGGTCGGGTCGGTGAACAATAAACCTTGAGCAAGGAGTTTGACAGACTACAATGGTTGAAATTTTTAGAGATTGAATGATGTTATCAAGATTCGCTGCAGAAACCTAGTTCTTTTGAAACCTTATATCAACCCCCAAACAACGTATACTTTTAAAATACACTTAAAAATCAGGAATAACATTCAGATTTTCCTAGTTTTCCTAAACCTAAAGAAGAACAAAGAATCGATATCATCGTGTCAGAGAAACCTATAGCTCCCAACTGATCATTCAGTAATCTCCAAAATTCTCTCTATATCATTTGAAATCGGTAGGCTTTCAACCCTCTCTTTATAAGTTAGAAATATGAAGGATTTCTAGAATCGATCGCTCTCTATAAATTGGAACCCTACCATGCGACTACTTATACCTCCCGAAAACGATCTCGAAAACCTTTACCTACGAATTGTAACAACGTAAATTTTAAAATAGAATTTTCATTTTTGCAAACGTCAAAAACCATCGTTTAATATTCCAAATTCAAATGTGAACAATGTTATCATAACAAAATACATCCCATGATCATAAAAACAGTTCCTCCATCAGTGTGTACAATCACGCCGGCGTCTTCTCACGGTCCTCGCTAGTACCTGAAACACATAACACAACAACTATAAGCATAAATGCTTAGTGAGTTCCCCAAAATACTACTTACGCACATACGCCTTTCTAGGCCCTGACCTTCCGGTCCATGTGTCTCAGGGGACTTCCGTCCCGACTCGGTAAACCTTTCGGTCCTACCTGCGTCAACCTTACGGTCCACATCACAACGCCTTCCGGACCATAACATATACGCCTTCCGACCCATAACATAATGCCTTCCAGCCCATATCAAGCATATCATACATAGCACATATAAACGATTAACTTATCATATACAATGCATATAACTCATAACATATCCGACCTTCCAGTCACACAATAAAAACCCTTCCGGGTACAGTATAGTGAGAAAACTCACCTCGTGGAAAGTCTAGAATCTCCCGTACTCGCTATCTCCAAATCCCAACGACGACTCTACCTCGCCTAATCATAGAAATATCATTTTAATAATTATAGACTTCCACAACTAGACTTTACCCCTTATCATCATTCCTCCGAGGGTAAAAGACCATTTTACCCTTCCTTGACTCAAAGTCTTCATGTTAACCAAAACCCTAAAAGTCAACAAAGTCAACCTTTTGAGTACGCGGGGCGTACATCGCCAACCCATGGATCGGGGTCTCCACCCAGTACGTTGCGCGTACTGGGAGTTACGCCCATCGTAACCATCAGACTTTAGCATACATCATTTCTGGTCTTAATCGGTTAAGCCATTACTCCAAATTTTAGATCCGGCTTTATTTATGCATCTATACCCATCAAGTCGAAACCTTTAAGCCTTGGCATGGCTGTAAAGGCTCCTACACTCCTTAACATCATTCTATTCCAACTCAAGGATCTAGATCTCATGCATGGTGCAACATTCACATCCAAGATTACATTTTTATGAGTCTACAACTCAAATAGACCAGAAATATGATGGATCTAAGCTTATGGAGACCATTTTCTCAAAAAGTCTCCACCTTTGGGACTAAAACCCTAGAAAATGGTACTTGAAGAATATTACAAGAACTATATGTCAAGATCCGAACTTTTTACCTTATAATGCAGCTTCAACCTTTGCAAAGCTCAGATCCACACTTGAACACCACTTCTAGCCTTCCCAATGAGCTCTTCTTCTCCTTTGCTACCTTGAAATGGCACCACCAAGCTTAGAATACTCACAAATGTCCTAAGAACAAATACACACTCTCTTTAACGTTTCTTTCTAAGGGATGGTGGCTGAGGAGTCGAGCCACACATTCCTTTTATAGCCATCCGAAATAATTAGGGTTTTTAGGTCTGGACTGGTTACGTCCAGCGTAACCTTGGGTACGCCCAACGTACCCGAGGGTGAACGCGTCCAAATGAAGCGTGCGAGTATCCGCATCGTACTCCTTGTACGCCCAGCGTACTCGCCTAACATGCAAACTCTAAAAGGCAACAAATCAAAGAAGAACGGCTAAATAGAAGGGTACCTGGATTTTGGGCTGTTACAATTCTGCCCCACTAGAACAAGACTTCGTCCCCAAAATCTCACACTGAAAACAATTCAGGATACTGATCCCGCATCTCAGTCTCGGACTCCCATGTCAGCTCGGACCCCTTCCGATGTTGCCACTGCACTTGTACCAAGGGTACTTCCTTGTTCCTCAGAACCTTAACCTTTCGATCCCTGATCGCTACTGGTC